ACCGAATAGTTTACATTGTCTCATTTAATGCCTGCAACACCAGTACTGAGTTGGTTCTAAAATTATCCCTGTTCTATTGATATGGAAAGTGAAGTCCAGAGACCTTGGTGCTCAAGACCAAAAATCTACTGCGCTGCAGATTTCAGACCCCGTGCTCTTAACCTTGACACTGTATCAACTCCTTGAGAAAAGAAACTATCTGGATCTATATAGGATGAAGAGAAACAGTTAAAGGGCAAAATAGTCTAGTCTTGCCTTCCTCTGTCTCTCATTCTCTCTTCTGTGTGTGTGTGTGCATACATACAACAAAAAATTTGAGATGACTAGACTGACTGTGATATGGTCTTGAATTAACTAGAGAAAAGATATCTTTCTCTATGTAACATGGGACTGTATTTATTCGTGATGTGGGCTCACTGTGTCTGTGAAACAATATACTTTAAATCACATTTTCATTACTCAAAACAGACCTTCACAAAATCCCATGAAACAAACTCTAATAGGCAGGGAGTGAAACCAGCGAACACCTGAGAGACAGGCTTCGTTCTGCTTCCCTTCCCAGCAGAGATATGGCAAGAGGCTAAGCATTTTGCCATGAACAAAGGGCAGAGTTTTTAGAACCTGCAGTTTCCAGGAGGCTGCAGGATATTGTATCACTTTGAAATAAATTTGCTTCTGATTCTGTACACATAGCTTTGAAAGAAGTCCCACATCTGCTAAGGGTGAGCTTTATCCCTATGTTTTCAAATAAGAAAAACTGTAGTCAGAAACGGGTATGAGCAAGTGGTGTCTTTGTGTGAGCACTTCCTGTTTTCATTCCATGATCAAATATATTCTTTGCAGCACAACTCGGGGAGCTCTTGAAGGTGGCAAGTGGAGGAGCCTGAGAGCCTAATTGAGTACACAAGGGCTTCTTGGCGTGGAGGAGTTTTTCATGGTTAAGAATAAACCGTCAGCCCGGGTATTATTTCTTGCTGTTTCTTTCTTTAACTATCTTTGAAGTCAAATAAAAACAGTTGTAATGGCAGGCTTACTTTTATGATATCATAATCTCCATGTGTTAGGGAAAAGAATATACTTCCCTAGGATTTCCCTACGATTTTTTGCCATTGGGTACTTTCCAGGAAAAGCACATACATTCCAACAGATTCTTTCCTCCATCTTCACTAGATTTCTTAGTCTCAGAAGCCAGGCAGAGCCGTCCACCAATAGAAGAGGGGGTAAGAGTAACATACGACACGTTTCGCTGGTTGAATTTCTAAAAAGTATTTACTTGGATTTATTTCCTTAAAATTACTGTGAGGATTTAAATATGTGGATTTATTTCCTTAAAATCATTGTGATGTTTAAAGGACATTCTGGAAATTGGTAGTTAGAAACGAGAAACTAATTATTTAGCTTCAGACTAAGCAAGTTTAAAGTGCTTAACTCAATATGGAAATTCCTCGATTCATCAAAGAGTTTGGTTTATTACGGCCACCTTGGATTTAGTTTAAATATTTTCCTCAATATCATCGATCAGCTGTGAGTTTATTACCTCCTCCCCTAAAGCTGGCGGAGCACAGGAATTTGAGAGTGTTTTAAAACTGTTACAGTTGTAGTGGAACTTGTTCTTCCAAGAAAACTGAAGGTTAATGATTTTTGTCATATTGAGACTAAGACTTAACAATTGCTACAGTTGGCCTTTGTTGAGGTGGGGTTCTTTTTCCTCTGGGCCTTTTGAGGTATTCAGAATAGGTGACAATAGCTTGCAGTTGAGAACATATGTAGAGAAACCCCTGTGGCTTATTGGGAAAAGTTGCTCCATGCTGGTTGGGTGTTTGGAAAAAAAAAAATACAACCAGAGTTCTTTTATGTTCTGCTAGTTAATGAATGCATGAATGTCAAAATGGGCCAATGGCCCATTCAGGGGGCAAAGCCTCAGCAACCCCCTTCTTTAAGAACACATCCTGAGATCCAAAATACATTTGCTTAACAAATTAAAATAATGAGATAATTCAATTAGCTTCTTTTTTAAAAAAGAAAGAAAAAAGGGTACATCGGGGATTATTGTAATACAAGAGCAGGTCATACTGCACAAAGGGGAACAAACCAGTTTGAAATAATGTTAAGGAGACTAATAATGAAGGAATGCACACTGAATCATGCACTTGTAAAGAAATTTACATGAAATAATAATTTAGACTACATCTATTTTCAGTGAGCTAGAGCCAACATTTCACTTTGAAAGTTGAAATTAATTAAATGACAGAAAAATATAGTGGGGCATCTCTATTTCCAAGAACTTCCTCATGCCTGTTAGTGCATAAGAAAAGGGGTCTAAATTAACATGTCGCTAGTTAGGGGGCTCTATTCTTGGTTTCTACGCTCAGAATTATAGCTGAGTAAATCTTTCAGCTCATTAAAGATTGGAAAGTAAAAGTTTTACAGGACCATCCTCATCATAGTTACTGAACCTCTTCTCTGCAGCTGGGGTGATGCTGGGATAAAGAGGGAAGATGTTGTCAAAGGGAAAGCTGAGAATTTCCTTACGCACAAGGAGGTGCAGGAAAGGCTGGGGAGAAGAGCAGAGAGAGAGATGGACAGACAAAGCCAGTGGAGAAAGTAATAAAGGGGCATGGTGTAAAAGAAGGTTGTGGGGAGGAGAAAAAGAAAGCCCTTAATGGAAAATAAAAAGGAAGCGGGGTACTGAGAGGAGAGGATGACAGCGCCGAGTATAACCAACACACGAGTGCGGGAAAGCAGCCTGCAACGTGCAGATCCGTTTGAAAAATGGAGAAATGGCAGGTCCAGAGAACTTAATGGACTTAACTGAGGTTCAGCCATGACTCAGGAAAACTGAACTCAAAATGTCAGTTTCCCAACTCTCCGGCTCAGGTTCTTTGAGTCTTCTCTCCCCCACGGTAAGGACAGGCATTAATTAAAGTTTTCAGCTGGACAGAGAATTCTGCACAAAGCCTTGTGCATATTTATCTAGATGAAAGCACCCTCGGGGTGGGGAGAAGGTACACAGTACATAGTACTGAGTAAATAGCACAGCCACAAGGAGCACCCAGGAATCTGCACAATTCCTTGCCTACAGTCGGGGTGCACAGTGGGTTTAACCCAGGACGACAGGGATATGGGAGGTAAGATACCAGCTGGCCAAGCAGGAGGTCCAATAAGCTCTGGATACTTGGAGGAAGAGTCAAGGCACAGACCAGGGCGGTGAAGGAGAGAGTTGGCTTTAAAAGAGAAGTGCAGAGTAAGTCTTCTCTATTTGGAAAGGTTATGGGAGCAGGCAACTTTTTAAAAATAAGTAAAGCAAACAGCACTTTGCTTCTCCTATTTCCTCACTTTGATGCTGAGCATTTTGATGGCAGAGGTTGTAAGTTTGATATGCAACTGCTCATGGTGATCATGATTCTAGCAAAGTCATCATAATGTGTAGAAAGGGCATGGAGCTGGGGTCAAGGAAGGCTTGGGTCCTGATCGCAGCTGGACCTTGAGCCAATCAGTTCCCTTTGCGGGTCTGAGCTTCCTGGTTTGTAAACAAAGCAGCTGCATTCTCTAAGATTCTGCTGTTCTATGATGTTGGGTTTTTTCGACTGAGGGGCTGAAAATACATGGGGATGTTTGCTTGAAAAGTAATTGCTGAACTCTTCACTTTCAACCAAGGAATGCTGAGCATGCAGGGAGCCAGCGGGAGGAAATCAGACAGGTGAGCTGGTGGGAGAAGACAGTTGCCTGCCATCTACTCGCCCCACCCTGCCTTTCTTACTTGCTACTCTAACCAAACAAACCTTCAGTTAAAAATGAGAAGCCCCTCCCCTCGCACTCATTCGACTTCCAAATGAAAAACATTTTACAGGTTAGTAAATCTCCAGCTGAGGTGATGTAGCAAAGAACAGCTGTGAAGTAATTTTGATAATGATGAGAATAATAACCACATGGCAAGGTTCAGGGCTTTGCTGTTGCAGCTTCAGTGCTCTTGAATAGATAAAAGTGATTAAATACTCCTGATTATCCCTGACCAATATGTAATGGATTTACAGCCCTTTCAATTAGTCAGTATTTGCTTAGGACTCATTATTTTGTCTTTGGTTAAGTAATCAGCCCAGAGACGGCATGTTCGGTCTAATTCCTCTGAGCCCAGTCAGCGCAGGGCCCTGACCTTTGAAATGGCCATAGCTGCAAGGCAAGAATAACCACTGCCACGGCAGCCTCGTTGGTACACCCAGCTAATCCTGACACCACCGGCCGGATCGATACACCTTAGTTTGCTACTAATGTCCTTACATCAAAATGGCCGATTTAGGAAGGGGAATCTATCCTGTAGCCCTCCCTGCTGCCGCCCCACCCCTCGCCCTTTGGAGCCCTGCTGAAAGAGTCGCTCAGCAGCCAGCGCCATAAATAAACGTGGAACCTTGTCCTGGACTCATGACACTGTAACTGATGTCATTCATTCAGCATGGCAACCCACAAGCTGGATAATCAAAGGCCTTCAGCTTTCAATGCGCTACTCTATTTTTAAGCTGCAGCCTAAACAGAATGGCCTGAAAACAATCTTATAGCAAGAAACAGCCTCTGACATCTTTACTATTTTCCCAGAATTTTCAAATGAAGGGTAAAATGCGAGCATGTAGTTCCTCTGCAAAAATATATTGTAATTTTTTGGCCTTGAGGGTCTCAGTCAATAGTGTGTATATATATATATATATATATAATGACACATAAAACCAATTGCAAACAGGAAGATAAACTGTTACTTGGAAAATGCTGCACATTGTTGATCTTTCCCCATAAGTGAACAGGATCGGCTTATAAGACAATAAACTTGAACCGCTAAAAAAGAATCTTTGATCTCTACCTTAGAAACAAAGGCATTATAGCACCTATAACCCTTCTGTGGTTGTCATATAAACACGTGACATGTTGCAAGCTGCTTCAGCGATTAGGGCTGCCCCTGATACCAGGCACTTGGACATACATGTGGCAAGGTGCTTTTTTTTTTTGCCTCCTAAGAAGATGGCTTTCGTTAAGAGTGTAATCAGCAACATTTATGGATTCATGAGCTTCTCACAGCCGTTTCCCTTGGTAGCAGTTGCATTATCTGAAGTTGCTCTCATACCTTTTCGCATAAACAACACATTTACTCATATAGACTTTTTAGAGCCCTAAATCATTTTGAATAAGGTCCATTCCTGACCTATGGAAATAAAAACTCCTCCTTTCTACAGGGTGCTCTTTGGGTGGTGAGAATTGATAAAAACCTCAACTGCCCTGTTAGCCATCAGATTTCAAGAAAGGGAAAATAGGCACCTTATTTCAAAAAAATCTGTATGAGCCCATCTAATGTGCTAGGAGAAGGCAAAACAACAAAACTTATTTTTCACTTTCATCTTGACTTACTGTGAGATGCTGGAAGAGCCATGCTCTCATGATATTTGTTGCTACTTTGGGGAAAATGCCTCTTTTCTTCTGACGTTTTTTGTCCTTGTCTGGATCATCATCGTCACCTGTGCCAGGTGAAGCTACACTGTTGTCTAAACCATCCCCTAGTAGAAAGAAACGAAAATACATTAGAGAAAACACAGAAAGGGTGCCAACAACAATGAGCAGCTAATGATGAGCTCAGCTAAGCTTGTTGAAAGAAATCCATTAAGCGGGTATATTCTCTTTCATTAAAGTATAATTGGAGACACAAATATGTAAAAGACAAAATTAAACCAGCCCTCTTCAAATGTTAATTTTGTGTGTCTCACACTCTCCCATATCATTAATTCAATTATAATTGTGCTCTTGACACAGTGCAGTAGCTCTTCGTCAATTATGGAATCCAATGTGGGAAAACCGCCATCAGAAAACCCATTCGGTGCAAATGCATCCCCATGCCCAGAGTGAACACATACTGTAGGGTAATCAAGTTAAATGTTCTGTAGTCTATATATTCTAGGCTGCCTGCATAGGTGACAGTAACTGTGTCACTGTTCATTGCACATAACACACTGCCTGCTCAGCGCCTCCTAGAACTGTCACCTCCCAAGCACACACATTCACATACTCCTCAGATGACCCTGGACTCAGCATCCGCGTGACAGGAAAACTTTTAGCTCTCTGCACCACTGATCATTATCATTAAAAAACAAAAAAGATGCACATCAAGGTAGGGTGCTCACTTAATCAGAAGTTTCTATCAACATCTTTCTCTTCTGTGCTTTTCTCTGGCATTAATTGTGCATTAGCAAAAATCATTTACTTTTAACAGTCATAGTTATTTTTTCTTGCCCTCCGGCAAAAATGCCTTGAAAGCCTGCCTGGAGGGCATCTAAATTATGTATCTGAAAAACTCTTCTGGCAAGGCATTGCAGGACCCCTACTTTCTTAAAATTCATACGAGCACGTCTTCCTGTTTTTGGGAAGGCATCAATCAAGAGGAGCAATATATGCCATATCCCTACATTAATATTTGAACTAATAACTTTAAAAAAAGGAAAGAAACAAGATCCGACTTGTGGCATAATCAAATGCAAAATAAATGAAGAATACGGGGACAGCACTGGGGCTTTATAGATGGCTGTGTTTTCCTTGCACATCATTAGCCTGGAGCCACACGAAAGAGGAAAACAGAGAAGTGGAGAGTTTATGCTCCCTGCTGGTGTTTAAGAAGCCAGGGTCCTGGAAGAACATCTGGGAATTGCGCTGAGATGGGGGTTTTTGTAATTTAAGAATAGACATTCATTAGCAGTAAATGCCATAAATCCCATGCTAAGTAAAAACCTTGTCCAAGAAAGCCTAAAACAATAAACTCTGTGCTCAATGTAGCCTGAGCTAGACGCTCCGCAGCTTCCCCGGGAACGCTATAGATCCACCAGCTCCTTCCCAGACCAGCTCCCTCCTCCTGGACTGGGCCACACTGGGGACATCCTGCCTCGGGCCCCTTGCCTCCTAACCTGTCCCGACTGCCTGCTGTGTGGGCTTCCCCATACCTGTTCTTTTCCCCTCTCGCCACAAAAACCCTCAACCTTCTTTGACCAGAGAAGCAGAAAAGCCACAGCAAAGAGCTGGCAGATTAATTTTATTGACATTTCCATTTTCACTGCAATGTGATACCCTCCATCACATGGAAGAGATGACCCTCACTATTTACAGACTGACAGGCCACTTCATTACAACCACCCTGCCCCAAGGCAAAGCAGATCCCTTCCATCTGCCCAAACACTAGAGCATGACCCCGAAGTTGCTGTTCTCTTTTTCTTTGCCGTCTGTTATGATAAAAAAAAAAGAGAGAGTGAGTCTCGAGGGGCCCCCATATTGTCAGAGCTCTTCTGGGGTGTAGGGGGACACAAGGGGTTTTTGTTTTGTGTCTTGTGTGTGTGTGGTCTCTCTCGTGTTTTTCTGTGTCTCCTGCCTGTGCACTCTTGTGTACCGGGGGGTGTCTTTTGCACGGGGACACACACACACACACACGAGCTCGAGCAGAGACACGCGTACACACTTTCCACCATGCCAAGTAACTGCTGCAAGGCAAATTCTCCCCCACACTAATGGCTTCTGACTGCTCCTTGGCAACCCCAGCATTTTAACCTGGGAGGACGTGCTCTCCAAAATACAGACACTGGCGCGATCTCATCAGCTGTTCATGTGACACAGATGGAGAGTGGCTATTAGGAGCCAGGCAGTGGGCCTTGGGGATCTGAGGTACTGTTCTGTAGCCTGAGGCGATTTTGAAAAGCAGTACCCGGAGATGAGGGGGAAAAAAAAAAATCCACACTGCAAGTCCAAGTTTGAAGTCAGTCAGTCTGTCTGTCGACCTACCGTGGATAAAGATATCTTTGTCTCTGGGTGGAAAAATCTATGCGGGCTATCTGGATGTACATTTCGGATAATGTATGTATGGAATGGCTCTTCCTTCAATGTCTTCCAAATATAAAAACACACACTATAAACAATGCCTGTGTGTGTATATTTCTTCCTAAGCACATATGGTTTCTGTGTATATGTTTAAGCTGAAATTGTCAGGATTTTGTTAAAATCGCATTTTAGCTTTTTTTGATAGATTTTTTGGATATACTTATTTTAAAAGGTTAATGGCTTTAATTAAAGTAAGTTCAACAAAAAAAAAGGCACTTGCCTTTTTTAACCCAATCAATGACCTTAAAAAATGAGAGACAGCATTTCCATGGAGTATTTTCTCTTGCTAAAAAGCAGAGAGGGTTTCTAACACCTTCAAACTATATGATTCACTACATTTAGCTCAAGAAAAAAATATAGCTGGATTGAGCATCCTTCGATGACTGACTTAAACTGGAGAAGACAGGAGCATTACATGCATTTTAATATATAGCAGTCTATTTTATACAAATGTTGTTAAATATTTGAATTTGAATCCACTGTAACAAATAATTGTAGAGAAAAATGAGCCTATTTTTATAATAACCAAATACTAGACATTAGATTTTTAAAATTAATATTATTATTTATACCTCTATAAAGATGGGAATTTCCTTTTCCAAACACACAATAAATTTGTTTTTCCAATGGATTGTGAACCAACTCCAGCACAGAGGACTAACAATAGCTATTTTTCTTTTAAAAGGCAACCATGTGATCTGCACCCTAAAACAAAACCATGCAAATGATACTAAATAAACCCTTAAAATGCATACTGTCTCCTTGTTTTAGGGCTGTATGTGTATTGGGATAGTTGGCAATCCTTGACATAGATGCCAAATGAGTTTCTGTGCTGAATAGGGTGGGTATATGGGCACAGATGCTCGTGTCAAGGAGGCACAGGAGGTAACAGTATATGTCTTGGCATCTGAAGTTAGGGTTCAAGAGTGTGGAGTCACTGGCAGGGGCAGGACTGTGTCTTGTTTACCATTTTATCCTGAGAGCACACCTCCAGGTCTGAGCCAGGGCAGACACCCAGTGATTGTCCGCTGTGTGCGTGAAGGGCTGAACTTCTCAATGAGTTTATTCATGGGTCCTCCTCTGTCTTTGATAATCCCAAACCGGACGACTGCAGTCTTCATGGTACTGAAGGGGCTGAGTGGACTGCCTGAGTGCACGTGTTTGCATGCATGCTCAGTCGCTCAGTTTTGTCCGACTCTTTGTGACCCTATGGACTGTAGCCCACCATGCTCCTCTATGGGATTCTCCAGGCAAGAATACTGGAGTGAGTTCTATCTCCAGGGGATCTTCCCAGCCTAGGGATTGAATCTGTGTCTTCTGCACTGGCAGGCAGATTTTTCACCACTGAGCCACCTGGGAAGCCTGCCCAAATGCACGCAGTCACTTCTAAACACGCCAGGAACAACGCTTCTTTGAAGAACTCAATCCCCATTAGAGCCTTTTTGAAGGGCTGACCCAAGGCCATTCCACCAGCTTTGCCACCTCTGATGGGAAAAAACTAAAGACTACTGGGCGTGCTTCCTTTAAAAGGTTGCTAATCCCTTGACTAAAGGCATAATCTAAGTTTGGGGCAAAGATACTCAAAATAGCTGCATGCCTCTGAATGTACTGCATGTGACAATGGAAAGAAATACTCAAGCCTGTGGATAGATACCTTTGAAGTAGACTAAATTATCAGGGGAGATTGTTAAAAACATGGGTCCTCAGGCCTTATCCCAGACTTACAAAATCAAAATATCCTGAGGCAGAGACAAGGAATTTGTATTCTTAACAAGTTCCTTGGGTTTGGTTATGCAATCAGCCTAGCACAGATTCTTCAACTGGCTTTTAGAAGCCTCTGAACTAGATTACCTTCTAATTTGAGTTAAGATGAAACCTCAGGAGCAGGTACATGGTTAAAATTCTATGCTACTGCCATGAACGGGGTTAGTGGTCACAGCGAACAACTACAGCCTGTAGGTTCCTGACCACCCAGCTGCTCTGTCCATGGGATTTTCTCAGCAAGAATACTGGAATGGGTTGCCATTTCCTCTGACAGGGGAATCTCCAGGAGATTCTTGGGTCTCCTGCACTGCAGGTGGAGTATTTTACTGCTGAGCCACTGGAGAGGCCCCAACTACAACCTGACCTGGACCTTATTCTCTGTGGGAAAGCCCTGGTGCTCTCCGTCACAGGTGCTGGTCAACACAAGGTGGTCCCATCCTATCTTCTGATGGTGAAGGTTCAACAGAAAGACGCTGTAGAACACTGGCTCTCAAAATACAGACCAGCACCCTTTAGCACTGGCAAAGAAATTGCAAGAAATGCAAATTCTTGGACCCATCCCAGACCCACTGTATCCAAATGGGGATGGGGCCTGAAAATCTGAGGGTTACTAAGTACCCTGGGTGATTCTGATGATGCTCAAGCTTGAGAACCACTGCGGGGGGCCACAGAGAAGTCTATAGCCTGCTAGCCCTGGTGGTCGTTGTCTGAATCTAAGCTCCAGGTCCTCCTCCTGTTTTCAGACTCTGAGGTATTCTGAGAGCATCTGCAGGGCTGGATTTACATCTGTGCTCTGGAGGGGGGCACACATCCTTTCCAAAGCTGAGCACACTGTGCTCAGGGCAGGGCAGTACCTGGGCAAGCAGCCCCGGTCTACACT